ATACCTCCCATAGGTTGTGTGACTGATTAGGCAGCAAGTTATGTGACGATGGGAGTTATGGTTTCCGGTCGCGGTTGTGTGGCACACGTGCATGCGCGCGTTTAATGTCCCACTAAGGCCAACGGGACAGTGTAGCGCTGTCGGCTTGCGCACATGGATCATAATGATGTCACAAAGAGGGCGGTGGCAATTGGATTTTTAGTTATTGCAGAATTAGTGTATGGATGCCCCAGAGGGCTGAGAGGAGCAACGAAGGAGGACCATCGCTGCAGGGGTGGAGCGGTGGTGTTAAATCCTTCCCAGAAAGGAAGCAATCAATGCCACCGTTTCAGGGTTCCTCGGCCACAATGGAAGGAAGCGTGGGGCGGGTTTTTTGTACGGGACGCTGGACCCGGTTTCCAGCCATCATTATAATAAAAAGTCGATCGATGTGTATAAAAGAAAAGAAAAGGGTGTATGGTGCCCTAGACTAGAAGTTTCCCTGAGGTAGCTGAGCGTCGTCTTCTGAAGCTTCTGGTAATGTACATGGAAACACAGAGAGGGGACGTCTACCTCCCCCAGCACAGCAGGTGTAGGTGCAACAGTGTGAAGAACGCGGATGGAAGCCGATGGTGGGTACAAGGAACACTTATGAATGAAAACTAGGCTGTCGGTTGATTCAGCAGAAATAGGGGCCCGGCAAATATGAGCTTGTTGCTTACCGGCAGGCTATCACAATGGACGAATATGAGCTTGCCGAGAGGCAGGCTGTCGCATGCAGGGCTAACGGACAGGAGCTCGCCTCGCGGAGGCGGGAGGAGAGAGGCGAGCTTGAGGGAAGGCAGGCTATCACAATACTAATCTTTCACATGCAGGGCTAACGGACAGGAGCACGCCTGGCGGAGGCAGGCGAAGAGAGGCGGAAGAAGCTAGAAGATTTAGGTGTTATGACAGTTATGCAGCATGTGGGGGAAGGAGGGCTGAAGGTATATGATATGGTTTACGCATTTTAGGCAGGAGGAGGGCTGGGTTGAAGAAGGTGACCTCCTGGGGTTGGTGGAGTTCGGGAAATGGCATGGATTTGTGCCGTGGGTGCTATGAGCTGGCTTAGGGCAGGTCTCGGCTGGGAGGGAGGGGGGTTGGAAAAATGTTTATCCTACAAAAGGAACAGTGTCGGAGACCCTCGTTTGTTGTCCTCTTCTCCCTCTCTGCCTACGCTTCACCGGGCCGTTCTCTATGTCGGTATAGAAGGAACCATCACAGAATGGTGTCAGTGTGCTCTTCGTGTTTGTCTTCTGTATTTTTCTTTTGTCGTTTGTTTCATAAAGTGTGCTCTTTTAGTCGATAGATATGTGACAAGATGTGGTGCTCTCTTTTAATCTTTCTATTCTTTTAAACGGCTGTGCTTTTTGGCGAGAGAGAAGTATATTGAAGATGCTGAATGTATGGTCCAAATCCAGGACACAAAGGTAAGCCGAGGTTGGTCCAGAACATAAACATACACAGTGACACATTGCTCTTAATTTTGATCCGCCCGCTTCAGGCAGGATTTGAACTCGTGCTCTGTCTATGCATAGTTAAATTTTTGTGTGCAACTGTTGATAGACGACCAGGTCCTTTCTCCTTTTCGCTGTCCAACACCGGGTGGACATTCTCAACCGTTGATTTATCTCACAATCTGGTTCTTCCTCCTTCTCCCCGTGCCCCCCCATGTTCTCTGTTCCTCTAGCTAGAGTACTGATATCCTGACCTTGCACTGTGGTCGGCTCAGCAGATGCTTCGTGTCTGATCTATCTATCGCCGGATTAGAGAATCACAGGTATTCGGAAAAAGGATCCGCTAGAGGTGACGCCCAGCTAGCGTTGCCTCTGGGCGTCGCCGCACGGCACATGAAATGAAAAGCGAAACGACTGCACGTTCCCACAGAGAATCACAGGTATCCGGAAAAAGGATCTGCTAGAGGTGACGCCCAGCTAGAGGTGCCTCCGGGCGTCACCGCACGGCACATGAATCGAAAAGCGAAACGATTGCACATTCCCACAGAGAATGGACAGGTTCATCGGCTAG